TATAAAGGGTGAATTTTACTGTATGTAAACTATGCCTTAATAAATTGGACTCCTGGGCTTCCGTGGTGGCACGGTGGTTAAGAATCCACCTACCAATGCAGGGGACATGGGTTCGAGCCCTGGTCCGGGAAAATCCCACATGCCGCAGAGCAACTAAGCCCGTACGCCACAACTACTGAGCCTGTGCTCTAGAGCCCGCGAGCCACACTACTGAGCCCATGTGCCACAACTACTGAAGCCTGCACGCCTAAAGCCCATGCTCCACAACAATGAGAAGCCCGCACACGGCAACGAAGAGTAGCCCCCGCTCATGGCAACCAGAGAAAAGCCTGAGCACAGCAACAAAGACCCAACACAGCCAATGAATAAGTAAATTAATTAAATTAAAAATAAATAAATAAATAAAATTTTAAAATGAAAAAAAAAATGACTCCCCTCAAAAAAACAAAACATAGGGAATTCCTTGGCAGTCCAGGGCTTTCACTTCAGAGGGTGCGGGTTCAATCCCTGGTTGGGGAACTAAGATCCCACAAGCCACGTGGCACGGCCAAAAAAAGAAAAAAAAAGTATAGTACTGTCCAGGTATAAGGTATCATCCATCAGGCATTACCCATAGTACTTTTCACAGAAATTCTCAAATACCTTTGTGAAACACGGCAAACGTTAAAAAAAAAAAAAAAAAAAAAAAAAAGTCTAGAAAAGACCAAATGTGCTCAGGAAAATATGTGTTGTTAGGTGGCCTTTTGGAACAGCCATTTCTACACTCTAGCAAATGCTCATATGTGAGACAGCTGGTCCCACTGGGGAGCAGCTGACCACTTGTACTACTGGGGGTTCTCCTTTCATCACCTGTTTGTTTGCTTGTTTGTTTTTAACACCACCAGAGTAAAAAGAATCAACAGTGTCAGAACTGAACAGTGAACGCCTCCCCCAACCCAACCAGGACAGCCTTTGTCCTCCAGGGAAAGAATACAGGTATTTCTGGTTGATCTTCTCTTGGCCTGACCACTGCCATCTTAATGAACACCATGCTCCAAAAGTAAGATAAAATATAAAATAAGAATAACCTGCAGCCAAAGACTAGGCTAATGGACAGCAGATTTCTAAGCAGAACAGGAACAAGAGGGGATCAGTACAAAGATGAAGTGCTAACAGTGAGAAAGAATCTGCTCAAATCTGCCAGCATCGCATCAAAATCCCTGCCCCGCAGCCCATGGCCCGGATCAATGCTGACAAAATTCCAATACAACCAAGGGACCAAAGTAGTTCCTGGAGTTCATAATGGGATCTGAACTACAGCAAATGGAACTGAGGATATAACCTCTTGCACAGAAATAAGGTCGCTGAAAAGCAAGGGTCATCTATCGGTGTGCACAGCTTATCACCTGCCCCCACAGGGCTCAGCGGAGCTCTGGCCCGTAGGAGGCGCTCCAAGAATGTTTGTGAGCAAGGCATTCAACTGCTCTTGGAAGATGGGTGCCCAACCCAGCCCCCCTCACGGTAAAGACTTAATCTCTAATCCATGTTACAATTGACCAACAGTCAAACCAACTTCCCCAGATTTATTCTTCTAAAGCCACGCAGGTTTGTTAACAGTCCTGCATGGAGGGTCTACACAGCCTCATTTCAAGTAACAACGGGGCCTATTACCCTGTTACCAGCTGGGGGTGGGGAGGAGTACAGCTGACTGATGCCAGGTGTTGGGGTTATTGAGCTGAAAAGCCTCTTACCAAGAAGCTCACATGCTAGTGGGAAAGAGAATTCTGGAAACAATTACAATAATTTGATAATGAAGAGCTCACCATTAGTTGAGCAGACATTGTGCTAAGTGATCTGTCCAATAACCTTGTGAGGTGAGAACTATACCCACTTTAAAACGAGGAAACTAAGGTTCTGAGAGGTGAGGCGCTTGCCTGACGTCACAGAGCCAGTGAGCAGAGGGGCCAGGAAAAGAAGCCAAGAGGTCTGACTCCACAGCCTGCACTCCCGGCCCCTGCCGCAGAGATACGAAGAAGACCTGAGACCTGGAGCTGTCAGAGGAGGCCCTCAGACCTGTCCCGGCCGCTACATCCTGAAGCATGGGGGAAGCACTGCAGCCCGAGGGAAGAGGCAAATGGCCTCGTGGTGGACCAGACGCTGCGGTACAACGGGACACCACCAGGAGGCACGGGACAGCGCTAGGAGGCACGGGAGATGGAGCCCTGGGAGACACAGGCAGGGCCAGACCACGGGGCTTGGTGTGCAGGGAGTCTACACTTTACCCGGGCCCCCAGCAGAACCGTGAGCCTTTCAATCTGTCGGCCGACATGAGTCTCGCCCGTGAGAATGCTCATGTAGGGCCAGGCCACGCGGTAGAAGCTGGGAAGTTGAAGACTGGGGAGGGGCCATCACAATGCCACTGCGCCGGTCCAGTTGGGCAGGAGAGCCTGAACTGGGCAGGGCCAGGAGCTCCTTGGTCAGAATCCGCCCAGGGGAGCCAGGTACAGCTCTCGCAGAGCATCTGACACGGACCAACCCTGGACTGCTTGCTGGGCTGATCCCCCTCAGGTCTCTCAGGATCCCGTTTCTGAACCAAGCAGACCCCATGGTTCACAAGGCAGCACAGACCACTGGCCAGCAGCTAGTTTCTATCTCTAGTCTCAGTTTCCCCATCTGTAATGCAAATGGATTTAACTAGATTGCACTTTAGGTAGCTTCCTGTTCTGACATTCTGTGAATTCTTTTTGTATTAGATTCCTATGGTGTCAGGCAAACAAAACCTCATGGACACATTTGGAAGTTCTGTCCAAAGGCACTGATTTGCTCTTCTTTGGGACGTGTGGGCAGTAATCTTATATAAACTGGAACAATCTCTGAAGAGGTCAGTTTGGCACTGTCATGGTTTGGTTTGTGCGTTAACTTGGCTGAGCCACTGTGCCCAGATGTTTGATCAAACATTACTCTGGATGTTTCTATAAAGGTGTTCTTGAGATGAGGTTAACATTTAAATCAGTGGACTTTAAACCAGAGAAAAGCAGATTCCCCTTTGTAATGTGGGTGGGCCTCATCCAGTCAGTTGAAGGTCTTATTAGACCAAAGATGGACTCCCCCACCTCCTCCAAGCAAGAAATTCTGCCAGCAGACTGCCTTTGGACTGGATCTGCAACTCTTCCCTGGGTCTCCAGCCTGCCAGCCTACTTTACGGATTTTAGATTTACCAAGCCTCCACAATCCTGTGAGCCAATCCTTTAAAATAAATCAGTCCTCTCTGTCTCTGTCTCTCTCTCACACACACACACACACGCAACTGGTTCTGTTCTCTGGAGAACACTAATACCCACACTATTTATCAAAATTGTAAATGCTGGTTGTAACCCATCCACATATCAGAATATATCGTAGCCACAGAAAACGATGCAGCCCCTTTATGTACTGACATGGAAAGATCTCCAAGATATATTAAGAATAATGTGTTTAGTGTATAATCATCTGTGTAAACAACAAAAAAAGAGTAAAAATTAACATTCGTATTGCTTACCTGTGGGGGAAAAACTAAGAAACTAACAGCAGGGGTTACCTGTTGGAGGAGGGCAGTGGGGGAACTGAGTAATGGGAGACAGGGCAGAGGGCCTTTTTGCTTTATTCCTTCTATATTCTTTGATAAATGCACATATTCTTTGATCCAGCAATTCCACATCCACATGTTTACCTTATAAATACACTACCCCACATGTAAAATGGTATATAAAATTCAGTTGCAGCATCGTTCATAAGAAAATAAGAGTGGAGGGACTTCCCTGGTGGCGCAGTGGTTAAGAATACACCTGCCAATGCAGGGGACACGGGTTCAAGCCCTGGTCCAAGAAGATCCCACGCGCCGCAGAGCTACTAAGCCCGTGTGCGCCTGTGCTCTACAGCCCACGCACGAGCCACAACTACTGAGCCCGCACGCCTAGAGCCCGTGCTCCGCAAAAAGAACAGCCACTGCAGTGAGAAGGCCGCACACCGCAACAGAGTAGCCCTCGTTTGCTGCAACTAGAGAAAGCCCACACACAGGAACGAAGACCCAATGCAGTCAAAAATAAATAAATAAAATATATAAATTTATATATAAATAAAAAAGAATGGAAACAACCCAAACAC